CCAATTGCAGAGGGAAGGTGGAGGGGGTGGGGTGGTAGGGAAGAGATCAACCAAAGGACTTGTATGCATGCACATAAGCATAACCAACAGACACAGTCACTAGGCAAGTGAGGGCATGTGCTGGGGGTTGGGGGTGGCTGGGGAGAGGTCAATGGGGGAAAAAGGAGACATATGTAAAACTATATGTAATACTTTAAACAATAAAGACTTAAAAATTGAAAAAAAATATTTAAAATAAGTTATTATTTCAACTTAAAAAAACTATTAAAAAAGGAAATATGCTACATGTGCACTCATTGTTAATTTACTTTTAAACACTTTAAACTACTAGGGATGACTGGCTTCCGTTATAGCTTGAATTACTCAGAGCTCCAAGTAAGGCTTTCGATGGTCTATCCCTTTTGACTGGCACTTTGTTCCTGCTCTCAGCCCCCCTCTCTTTCACCTGGTGAACGTTCCCAATGCGCCCCCTCAGGCCAAGCAAATGTCTTCCCTCTGTGAAGCCTTCCAGATGCCTGAAGCAGAATCAGGTAGCCTTCCTCTGTGCTCTCCCAGCGCTCTCTCCATACCTCCTTCAGAACAGTTTTACCCGCAAAGCTGCCCAACTTACTCCAAGTGAAGACCGAAGCTCTATCCCTCACTTGCCATAGCTTTCTCATTGGATTCCGATTATGTTTTCTACTGGCTTCCCAGCTCCCTCAGAATGGAAGTCAGAGCCTGCAGCCCTGATATCCCTGGGCCAGCGTCCTCACCTCCTTCAGGTGTTTATTCAGTCCTCACCGCACTATCCTCCTGTCTTGCTTACATTTCTCCATTTCACGTATCGATAGCTCTCATACCGTATCTTCATTATTTACTTATTTATTGTCTATCTCCCTCTACAAGAATGGAAACTCCCTGAAGCTTGGGGCTTTTGTCTGTTTTGTTCGCAGGTGTACCCTCAGTACCTGGAACAAGGTCTGGACACGGTAGTCGCTCAGTAACTACTGTTTTAATGAATGAAATGGCAGCCTCTCTCACCACCCTCTGAGTTTCTCAAAGGCAAAAATGTGGTTTTGTTTGGGCAAGTCTAGCATGTTCCTCTATATATTCAATAGAAATTAGTCTCATGGATTCCCTCTTGGGGAGACAGGCCAATTCTAGGATAGTTGCAATAGATAGATCAAGAAATGGCCAATTTGACAACCTTTTTGGTTTGTACATCATTGCGTTGCTTCATCTTAGATAAGAACATTGGATTTAATGGACACATATGTAATACCCTTTGTAATACTTTAAGCAATAAAAAAAAAGCAAAAAAAAAAAAAAGAACATTGGATTTGTCCATTGAGAGACTGGAAATGGGGGTGAAGTCCTACAGCGGAAGTATATGGTGTCCAAAAAATTTTTGGCACTTACTAGTCATTTATACAGGGGCAGGCAAAAGTAGGTTTACAGTTGTAATACAAATAAAAAGCACGATAATTAATAAATAATAATACAAGAATAAACTGTTTCGAGTACTCACAGCTGGAAACCTATTTTTGCCCACCCTTGTCTGTATAGGTAACTAACAGGGTGAAGGCCAAGAGCTGGGAAGACTTGCCTGGATTTGGAGGAAGGGGTGATGTGGTGTTGTACTGTACCCCGCGAATCACACAAGGACGCCTCAAGAAGTCGAATTAAGGAGTCACATTTATTGCAAATCCGGGACTATGAGGGGGCATTTCGCTCTCTCAAATCTCGCAGTACCCTCCCCAGCCCCACCACCAGATTTATATAGGCAAAGACCACAAAGGTATTGATTACATACCAGGGGTTGGAATGAGGACCCTGGTTTGCACAAAGCAGTCTACAGAAGCAGACTTAACCCCTTCCCCGGCAGAAACGTGTATACTCGTTTTCACAAAATGTTCTTTTTCAGTCGTCGACGAGTATACTAAGAAAATATGGTAAAAAAATATGGTTTATAGGAAGACGAGTTACAAACTGTTTTCATAACCAGCATCAAAAATACTATATAGAACCAAAATAAAAAAAATTAGTCTGAAAAAGAAACGTTTTTAACAAAAAAATTGTTGGGGAAGGGGTTAAGCATGTTAGCTAAATTATAGTGTTGGGTCTCTAGATCACTGAGCTGACAGAAACACATTATCTGGAGCCCTCTGGTCTTGGGATAAGTGTGCTGTCCTGGTTCCCAGCTACAGAGGAATTTGTAAGATCACAACCAGTGGTTTATTCACATGACAATCAATAAGCTATTCAGTCGAATGGGATGATTTATATAATTCAGAAAATCAAAATAACTTTTCTATTGTTAAACAAAGCAAATAAGTACAGAAGCCAAACAGCAGGGTTAAAGTTAAACTATCGTTTCTGCCTGAGATGACTGCTACCATACTTCAGTGGGCCTGTGAGGGGGGCATCCTTACGGTCTGAGGCTGGGAGTCAGCTTGGAGCCTTAATGGCAGGAGGGCTCAGGAGTGAGTCTGCCACAGCGCATCAAATGTTTGTAAGGGGGAAGGGAA